AGCCGTCATTGTTGTTTGGCGGGTCTGGGCTGGGGATTCGAACCCGCCACCTTAGGTGTACGTGGCTGGCGCCTTAGCCGGGTGAGCTATAGGCGCCGAGCCTGTATAGTACATTTTAACAGGTTGAATTTTATGGTTATGTGAACTAGTTTTTAACATAAAACTTTTTAAAAAGGATAACTACCTTTATTATACTGTATTTAGACAAATTTCCAAGTTTTAAGTTTTTTATTTAACAAATCTAGTAATAATGCATTATTCATCCTGTGATAGTAGATTATAAAATAAAAATGTATCTGGATCACAGTCACAGTGTTTGATATTTAAATAATGGCCTAATAGAATAAATTGTTCTTTGACTTCTTTTGAAGTAAATGTTAAATAGAATTTTGTTCCTAGATTGACTTATTTTTTTTACTGTTATACTTTTGGTAAATATTAATAAAAATATTATTTTTAATAATATCTGTGGACTGTAGAGTGTGTCTGAGGTCTGTCTGGAAAGTATCCAGCCATGCAATATGAAAATAGTATTAATAGAGGCTGGACACTTTCCAGACAGACCTCTTATATATTAGTCTCAAACTTATGCCAGCATAGAAAATAAACTAAAATGGAATTTATGATATTGCTTAATTCCTAATACTATAAATTGTGGAAAGTTGATGGACTACTCTTGAATGTTTCTTAATATTTTTCAAATTAAATATTAAGAAATTAGAGGAAAAAAACCATAATTTGGATGCACGCCTATATCCTATGAGTAAGATGAATCTGGGTATTATGGTAGAATGAGCTTTCAAAGATAGGGCAATTATATGTTTTCAAGTCTGTGTGCCCAGTACCTGGCACAGTGCCTGACACATGATAAGGAAATGAATTTAAAAGATTTTTTAAAAAAATTTATTAAATGAACAAAAAATGTGGTGCTGCATAATATTTTAGTGTAAGTTAGTTTTCTCTTTTGGCTGATTCCTGCTATTGAAATCAAGTCTGCCTCCGAAGGGGATTATTGAAATACTAAAACAGGCCATTATATAGACTCTTCTCAACCAGACACATTTCTAAAACTATTAAACCTTCCATTTTATAAAATTCACATTTAAGGAGGAACAATTTATACATAGTATAATTCATCCCTTTTACATGTATAATTCAGTGCACTTTGGCACATATGTAAAGTCATTTTAAGTGCTACCACGGTGATGTGTAGAACATTTCCATTTCCCCAATGTTCCACTGTGCTTCTTTATAGTTAATCCCTTCCCTCCACCCCCAAACTCTGGCAACTACTGATCTGATTTCTGTCCCTGTGGTTTCACCATTTTAGGATGTGATGTAAATGGAATCTTACAATAGACCTTTTGTGTCTGGCTTTTCTTACTTGCAAAATGCCTTTGGGATTCATCTATGCTGTTGCTCATATCAGTAGTTCATTCCTTTTTACTTTGAGTAGTATTTCCATCTACATTTTCAGGTTTTCAGTAAGATAAATGCATTGGATCATCTGTATTCAAATATAAGTAATAATGACACAACAACTTTGGATGAACTTACTGCACATTGCAGAGTATGAGATAATTGGTTCTGCTAGTATGTCCCACATGTGACCATTGATGTTCCTGTTCCAGAACATTTAGCTTACAGTTGTACTACAAATTTGGAATATTTTATAGGTGGCTCTACTAGCCAAAACTCTGGTAGCAGCTTTGTGTAACCTTAAATTCAGGATGTCACTCATTTTTTTTCTAAAAGCCTACCTAGTTTAGCTGATGCTCTTGCGGTTCACATTATCTCTTTGAGTGTTGGGTGGTGATCTTAATTTTTATGGATTATCTGGACAAATATTAAATATGTAAATAGCTCTTAAGCCTTGAGAGAGATGGCTGCCATATAGCACAAAAATAATTGTGATTTCTAGGCTTGTTATTTGGAAAGATTAGTGTATTTTATGGCAATATTATAGGCAGAAGATAAAGAACATAATCTAGTTTTTATATTTTATTCTAATATAGTATTATGTGCTGTTTTGTTTTTGCCAAGTCTGAGAAAAGGAGCATAAAGTAATCTGTCAGTTGTACTCAGAAGAATCACATTGGCAGTGATATGGATGGTAGCAGAAATATGTTAAATTTAAGTGATGAGAAAACAAATTTATGCTTTATTTTATAGAAACAGTCAGATGCTTGATGAAGATGACATATTGAATGAAACACCAGAATGCCCTGTGATTAATGTATCAGATGAGACTGGTGCCTTGCAGCTGGCAAGAAGCACAGAAATAACCAAGCCCCAGACTACTACTACTATAGACAGTGTGGTAAGAAACTTAGGATTTCATCCATTGACATCATGTTCTTAAGTTATTTCAAGGAGAAATGACAGTATTGACAGTATTGATCTGCTTTTGCTATTTTTAAGTTAATCTCTAGAGCAATGTTTTTTAACCTTTTTTATCTCACGGCACACTTGAACCTATAGTTAAACTTCTGCAGCATACTTGAATTATGTTGATCAAAAAAAAAGTAAGAAAAATAACATATTTACTGTGCTTTGAACTTATTCTGAAAAGAATTTAATTAATGATCTTTAAAAATTTTCACGACACACCTAAGATCCTCTCATGGCATAGCAATGTGCTGGGCACACTAGTTGTAAATCACTGCTCCAGAGCATATCACACTAGTTCAACACTTCAACTAACAGAGATAATGAATTTCTTTGTAAAATATTTGATTAATTTAGCTTACAGTTACAGGAGGATATTTTAATTGTAGTTTTGTCTAAATAATTTTATAAATTCATTAAGGATGCATGGTTATTTTTAGTAATTAATATGCAGATGCCTTTTTAGTCTTTTCTAGGTCAAAGTAGAGAATTCAGTAAGCAGCAGCCAAATCTTGCTGAGAGGAAAAGAATCCTTCCAGCTTGGATGTTAGAAAATTTAAATGATCAGAACCTTTCAGCAGCAGTCATCAGTGAAAGTAGGTTTTTATTTCTGCTAATGTTGACTTTCAAGAAAATGTTAAACAAAATTTGAGCATTTTTATAAAGAAACATTTTTATAAAGAACATTTTATAAAGAAACACTATAAGATTTTTATAGGATAGTAGTTGTGTTAGGGCATAGGTTAGCTTAACATTTTTTTTAGATATGTACATGAAGTCTAATTTAAAATATAACTGTTATTTTATGCTACTTGTCAACTACCATCCTAATAATTATTTCATTGGACAAGTGCTATTATGTGCTAGATTTATATTACTGTAGATTTTCAAACAAACCTGTTGGCATCATGTCTAAGATGAAAGGCTGGCACAATAAGAGTGTTGAAAGTTAATTAAATATAAAATTGTCAAATGTACAATGTTATATGCTAGGGTATTAAAAGAAGGCGTGACCTCTATTCTGATGTAGCTCATTGTCACAGTAGATATCACAGTGATTTATGTCTTCTGCTGGGTATTCTTAATGTTTCAAGATTTTAAAAATGTTTACTAATTGTCTTAATTAGGCAACTTATTTATTGAAGAACAGAAACTTACTCAGTTTAATTAAGAATTTGTGAGGTTAGGCAGGGTGGCTACTTGTAGGAAGTATAATCAGGTCTCACAGGAGTCCAGATTAGGCTGTGCCTCCCTTCTTCTCTTCTGTCTTCTGTTTCTCTCTCTTTGTTTTAAAGGATGGTCATTTTCGTTCACCTGTGATTTTGCACATGGGCTTGGCTTGCCTCATTTCTGACACTGGACTAATTCTCCTCTCTTCAAGCCTTCACTGCCCTATCGTTACTAGAATACTTTGTCTATGAATTCCAAATTCTAGATAACAGAATCTGTTCAGTTCACTTTGAACCACACCCCAGGTCCAGGTTTCCTAAGAAAGTATGGTCAGGAAGGAAATGAAGGGCACCTATAACATATATATACATACGTAAAAGTTGGTCAGATGCCTATATAAATAAATAGTTTTAAGATATGATCAGTTCTGCCAGGTAGTAGAACTTTTTTGAAAAGTTGTTAGGTCTAGAGATACAATGTTAGATAGAAATGAAACAAGTAGAACTTTGGTACCAAAGTGCTTTATTTTTTTTGCAGTTTTTGGCTGGGGCTGGGTTTGAACCCACCACCTCTGGCATATGGGACTGGCGCCATACTCCATTGAGCCACAGGCGCCACCCCCAAAGTGCTTTTTAAAGGTATTTCTGTAAAATACTGTAAAAACTGACTAGGGAAATAGGAAACTTTCCCAAAACTAAACATTGTCTTTTAAATTTTATCTGTGAACAGTTTCAAAAACAGAAACAGTACATATAATGAGTCCCAATGTACCCATTACACAACTTCAATAATTAACGATATTCTGTTATTCGTGTTTATTACTTATTACAGAAGATACTCTTTTGTGGCTAGTTCCTTTTTCTCAGCAAAATGTCTGAGATTCATTTATCTTTTTATATATATGAGTAGTTAATTTCTTTTTCTGTTCTGTTATTTGAATGTATCATTTGGTTTACCCATTACTCTGTCAATGGACAGACATTTGGGTTGTTTCTAGTTTTTGGTTGTTGTGTCAAAGCTTCAGTAAACATTCGTACGTAAGTATGTATGTAAACATATGCTTTCATTTCTCTTGAATAAATATCAAACAAGGAAACTGTTGGGTCAATGAGTAGATGTATGTCAACTTTCTAAAATGCTGCCAAATCTTTTTCCAGGGTGATTGGGCCATTTATATAGGCTCTAGAAATAATCTGAGAGTTCTGGTTATTCCACATCTTTGCCAATGTTTTATTATAGTCTGTTTCAGTGTTAGCAGTTGTCATGGTGTGCAGTTTTACCTTACTGTACGTAAGCTTTTTAAACAACTCTGCATGTATTTAGGTCTTTTATTCTCTTGTCAGTATCATGGTTTTCAGTTATAGGTTGTGCATATATTTGATTAATTTAGTCCTAATTATATTTTGATGCTATTTGTAAATGGTATTGTTTTTTAAGTGCCAATTTCTGATTCTTCATTGCTAGTATGTAAAAGTATCATTGGTTTTGTATATTGATGGCGTATACTCTGAATTTTTTAAGCTGGTGTATTAGTTCCGGTAGCTTTTTTTTTAACAGATACTCTGGGATTTTCTGTAGAGCATTTCTCCATTTAAGCTTGATAGTACTTGTAGTTTTTCAGAGATTTAAGCTTGATAGTACTTGTAGGTTTTTCAGAGATTCCTTTTTCAGATTGAAGAAGTTACCTTCTATTTCTGATTTCTCTGAGTTTCTATCTTAATGGATGTTGAATGTTGTTGAATGCTTTTTCTACATCAAATAAGGTGATCCCATGGTTTTTATTCTTTATTCCACTTAACTGGCAGTTCTCTTGATTTTTGAATATAAATAAACCTTTCATTACTGGAAAAGACCATTCAAATATAATGTATTATCTATTTTTATATATTTCTTAGATTTTTTAAGGATTTTTTTGCATATTTTGGTCTATAATTTTTCTTATAATGTCTTTCCTAAGTTTTGATATAATATTTGTGCTGATTAGATAAAATGAATTGGGAAGTATTACTCCTTCATCTATTTTCTGAAAAAGTTTATCTTCAGGATGTTATAACAGAATGTCATAGGCTAGGAGGCCTAAACAATAATAAATAGTATGTATTTTCTCATAGTTGTAGAGGCTAGAAGTCCAAGATCAGGGTGCTAACACAGTATTTTGGTGAAGGCCCTCTTCCTGGCTGTAGACGGCTTCCTTCTCTTTGTATCTCATATGGTGGAGAGAGCAAGCTCTGGTCTTACCCCCTTTTAAGGGCACTAATCCCATTCACCAGGCCACCAACCTCATGACCTGATTACCTCCCAAAGGTACCTCCTCCAAATGCCAATTACATTGGGGATTAGGACTTCAGCATATGCATTTTGAGGGGACATATACATTTATCCATAGTGGAATTTATGAAATATGGATAGTATTTCTTTTTTAAATGTGCGACAGAATTTCCTAATAAAACCACCTGAGCCTAAAGTTTTCTTTGTTGGAAGATTTTTATCTTTGGTTTTAAGTCATTTAACTAATATGTGTATTATAATTGTGGTCTATTTTACATTATTAATCTTTCCTGAGATTCATTTACCTTCTTAAATGTCATTCACCAAATTTGGAAAGATTTTGCAATTTTTTTTTCAAATATTTTTCTTTCCTATTTTCTTTTTCCTTTCTAGAGTTTTAATTATGGATATACATATTATACTGCCTGATATTATTCTAGTTATCTGTTAAGTCTGTTGATTTTCATTTTGTTTTCTCTGTTCTTCAGGTTGGATAATTTCTATTGATAATCATTTAGGTGTACTGATTCTTTTTTTCTATTATCTCTAAACTTTTTGTTAAGCTTTTCTATCAAATTTTTCATTTTAGTTATTGTACTTTTCAGTTTAGGAATTCTTGTTTAGTTCTTTTTTTGTATTGTTCTGTTCCTCTAATGAGATAACCCATTTACTCAGTCATTTTATTTATATATAGATGTATTCCTATAAATCCTTAAGCACATTTATAATAGGGGCATTAAAGTTTGCATCTATGTGCAACTTTTCAGTTATTTAAGGTTTAGTTTCTATTGACTTTTGAAAATAAATATATATAGGTCACGTTTTTCCTATGTATTCTGTGATTTTAATTGGATATTGGACATTTTAAATAATATGGACACTCTCAATTTTCTGTTCCTCTGAAGAAATACATTTGTTCTAATTGGTGTTTGATGTGGCTGGATTCAGACCATACACTCTGTTTCCTCTATTGTGGACAGCAGCTGCTGTCTGTACTTAGTTCTTTCACTTTCCATTTACTTTTCATCTGCTGCTGTCCCCCACCCCCAGTGTCTAGGTTCCCCCCCCCGCCCCCCATGCACATGTAGTTTAGCAGTCAGCCAGGATTTGGTTTGTTTTATAGGTAGATTTTGATTCTTGCCCCTTCTGAGGCTCCCTTCCTTTCAGCATTTCATCTCTAACCTTCTGTCTGTTCTACTAGCCTGAAACTCTGGCTTCTGACCATTTAAGCCAGTAGGGCTACAGCTTTCTGCCACCTGTGAATTGAATGCCCTCAGGTAAAAAGCTGCAAATTCACAAACTTCATAGGTTGTAGTCAGTTTTTCAAGGTTAGACTCTTATCCAGCTCTGCCTTTTTGGTTTCTCCCCAGTGCTTTTAAATAGGTTTTTTTTTTTTAATATTTTATCCTGAATTTATAATGTTTTTATTTGGGATGATTAGTTTGATTAAGCTTCTGCTATTTTGCCCTGTACATTTTCTTTATAAATCAATAGCGCAAATGAATATATATTTTAGTTGGAATGTTACTACTCTTAGTGCTTCTCATATTCTGCATAATAGTCATAGAAGTCTTCTAAAGTTTTTGATCAAATATATAATATATAGAATATAGCTTATTTGATGGTAGTTTGGATTATAGTAGAAGCAGAGTATTCTCATGGGAAAAGTAAGCCATACATTATGTGTTGGGGGGATGTGGTTAGAGTTTCCTGCTAAGAGCTTTATGCTAACACAGTGGTTTTTAATCTGCCCTTCCCTCTGGCAATTATTTCACATGTAATATATTTTTATCAATAACATCTCTCATTAAGTGTGGTGATCCTCAATTTGCTGGAAGGAAATGGGGGATGGTAGTAGGGAGGGGAAGGCACTTTCCTTCAATAGAAGAATTTCTCTGATAATAGAAAGAATAACTTCACTTGACCAAAAACTGGATCAATGTGAAATAGATCCCTGTAAAGAAGTCCTTTTCTTTCAGAGTTATGTGAGACCATACCTGCTTCTGGGCTACCACTTGCTTATAATTGTCCAAAATGTATTTTGGTTCAAATATGGTTTCTTTCACTTGATTAATGTCCCACATAAAATTTGAAGCACATTTTTGTGGCACTTCATCTTGAAAACAGAAATAAGAGTTATTTGATATTGGTCTATATGGGAATATTATATAGTATACAATGTACCTAAAATACTAAAGCTTCAAAAGAAGATAGAAAAGTTTGGATTCAGATATATCTTTTTATAAACTTAGACTTTGGGAGAAGTACTTATACGACTAAGCTTAAGTTATTTAATCTCTTTAAAGACAAACATTTAGAAGTGTAGGATAGTTTAGTACATTAGAGTGCAGTTAAAATAATTAACTGCACATAATTCTGCTGCATAGTTTTTTTAAAAACTTGTTTTATACATTTGTTTAAGAAATAAATGACCCAGGTCAATAGACCAATGCTACACATTTAAAAAATTCAATTTCTAGGTTCCATTTTAGGGTTATTTAGATATAGGTAACTTTTAAAGGTCTTTTGGAGCTTTTACTATTCTTATGGTCATTAATATTTACTTAAATCATCTGAAACCAACTTGATATTTTGGTACCTTTTGAATCATTACAAAAAGGACAAATAACATAACTGATATTAAATGACTTATCTAAGATCATATAATAAATATCAGAGCTGTAATTTATACTTAGCTCTGTTAGGCTTTAATGCCCGTGTTTCAACCATATCAACATACAGCCACCTAAATTTACTCTTTATATGTCCCGTTATTGTTTGTTTCCCTTTTTATTTTTTATCTGTGCTTTGGTATGCTTTTATGTTTTCTCCTGGATCTTCTTTCAGTTTAATTCTTGGTCTAATCCTTATCTGCAGGTAAAATTTTGCTGTGATCAGGCTAGTCTTTCTTTCTGTTTTTCATTAATATAGTTTTTTTTAAAGTTTATTTTATTTTCTGCATTCTAGATACTAGCTCTTGAGTGTTATCATACATTTCTCAGGCCTGAGTTGAAAGTTTTCCCATGTAATTGAGAAGTGAATATATTTAGGTAAAGCCTTTCTGAGCCTCCTTTTTCTAGATCTCAAGTTATCTCCGGCCTCTCAGCCTTCCAGGTCTCAGGATTAGTGGACAAGATTACAATTCTCTTGGTAGATTAAAAAAGGAGTTTTTGTATTTATATTGTTGTCATGATACCCTCCACTTCCCTTTTTATAATTAAAAAGTTACACATGTTTGTATAAATCAAAGTAGTACCAATTTAGTTTGCATTTAATTTTATATTGCAAATATTTTCAGTATGGCAACTCGATGCAAATAATAATAAGCTGATACTGTTTTAATTGGACTGTAGTTCAAAATTTACTTAAACTTAAGGTACTAGTTATTCTGTTTACTTTGATAAGTTAGTTAAATTGATAAATTCTAATAGTTTTCAAATCTTTTATATTTCTAGTTGAACAGTCATATTATCTATAAAATTGTGATAATTTTGGCTTTTCTGATCTATTTCTTGCTTTCTTCTCTTGTCTGAGTAACTGGACTCTAAAAATTTTAAATAAAAGTGGATAAAATTGGCATCTGCATCTCATTCTTGATTATAATAGAAGTTCTGTTAGTATTTTGCCATTTAATATGGTATTAGATTCTGAAAAAATAGTCATATCATATTTAGGATATTTCCTTTAATTTTTACTTTTTCACCAGGAACAACTATTGAATTATTTGAAAGTTTTTTGGTATAGAAATAATTCTGGCGGCACCTGTGGCTCAAAGGAGTAGGGCGCTGACCCCATATGCCAGAGATGGCAGATTCAAACCAGCCCCAGCCAAAAATTGCAAAAAAAAAGAATTCTGCATAATGATGTTTAATGTAAATAATGATGTTAGTAGATATCCTAATATTGTACCATGCTTGTGTTCTTGGAATAAGTTAAACTTTATCATGATAGCATATTATTTTGATACCCTTAGGTTAGATTTGCTAATATAACATTTAGGATATTTCTATCTATATTTATAAGCATCGTTAGTCAGTATTTTTCTCCATGTATGCCATATGTGTAAGATTTTAGTGTTAGAACTATGTCAGCTGTGTATAAAATGGATTGAGAAGTTTTTTATATGTGGTCATAGACAATTTTAATGACAGAGAAAGTATATTCCTTCATGGAACCCTTTTACGTCACAATCTGGATCTGGTACCATCTTTTAATAATTGATAGTTCTTGCATAGGAATAGGTAAGTTAGACCAATTTAAAAAAAAATGGAACATCTAGAAACAGAGTGAAATACATCCATTTATTTAATTTATAAGAAAATTATCACTTCATTCAATAGAGAAAGGATGTATTATTTAAAAAATGATATGGGAAAAATTAGCTCTCCATTTAAAGAAATTCATATTAGAGTACTACTTCATATCATATTCAGATATAAATTTCCATTGAATTGATATTCTTAATATAAAATTAAAACTATTAGGGCATTTGAAGGAAATATAGGAAAATGTTTTTTATTACTTCTGTAGGCATCTTAAGCCTATAGGAAGCCTAGAACCTTAAAGGGAAAACTGACATATTTATCTAAAAAGAAATGTTATATGCAAAAAGTCAAAGGTAAATAACAGACTGGTGAACAGTATACTGAGATATAATATCTTCCACACTTTTAAAAGAGAGAACATTTAAAAAAAAGTTTGATAACAAAAAAATATAAAACTCACTAAAAATTTTGGTTATTATATTATAGAAGAATAAATACTAATAATAAATATATGATTTCACTATCTGATAAGAAAATATAAATTGCAACAACCAGTTACCCTTTTTTTGTTATTATCAAAATTAAAGCAACTGATAATATCTAGTGCTGGTAGAAATGGGTATTTTCAAACATTGTTGGTGGAAGTATAAATTAGGATAGCTTTATAAAGTCATTTGCTATCATCTCTTAAATTTTTAAATATACAATACACTTACTATTCTAGATATATATTTTACAGAAGTAATAGCATTTGTATTTGTTTACCTATATGTATTTATAAATATATTTGCTTAAATTTAGGAAAAAGTTAAGATGAATACACATCAACTTGTTAATATGGCTATAATGAGTGGTTTCTCTGGGTAAGATTGGAAGAATGTATTTTTAAAGATATTTTGGCATATACATATCATGAGCTGTTATTCATATAGAATTGGAATAATAGCTCATATAGATGCCACTAGTAATAGTTAAAAGTAAAATAAACTCATTCAAATTAATAGTTCATTTTTATATTTCTGTTATTTAGAAAATACTGGTTATTCCAGATATAAAGATTATTGTGAATTAAGCTACTTGTTTTATGTACTTTTTGTGAAGACTTATTTATTTATTTATTTATGGACAGAGTCTCTATCTGTCAACCTGGGTGGAGTGCTGGCATCTTGGCCAGGCAGACTCCAGGGCTGGAGCTCTTGGCTCTATGCTATTTAATACTTTCTGAGATTTGCAAATAAGCATTTTCAAGTTGGAATTGCTATAAATGGAACCTTAAGTTTACTTGCCCTTTTATCCTTTTTCTTTCCTTTTGATCATTTGGATTTTTGACAATTAAGCATACAGAAGATAATTTTCTTCTTCCTTTTCTTTATTTGTATGTGTTTAAGGTAATAATGTAATCCAGGGAAGTGGAAAAGAAGAAAATTGCAAAGATAAAAGCCAAGTAAATACAATTCAGCAAGGACGAAAGCGATTAATTTCACCAGGAAGTTCAGAAAGTACATCAGCAGAACAAGAAGCAGGGAAAAAATCCAAAAATGCTAATCAAGAAGAATCTGTCATTTCATCCAAGGTGATTTAAAAAATTCACTATTTGATTGTTTCTTTTCCTTGTCAGGTATATGGCATATACTTATATACTATATAGTATAGCAAGGAGAAACCAAAACTGCTTTTTATTATTGAGTCTGTGAAGGTAAAAACTAGCCCAATTTTTTGATTTATTGAAACTAATTTTTAACATAATATTTACATTAAAAAAACCAAAGCCTTTATGTTTTGAAATTTTCAGATTGGGAAAAAAACATGAAGGGCACTTGACTCTGGTCATAATATGGCACTTCCATTCTGACAACCTGGCTTCTCTTACTCCATTGGTTATCCTCAGGCTGCATGTAACTACCTTTTTCTTGCTAAGAGTGGAGACAGAAAAATAATCATGGGGTAGTTCTTTACGGTTTGTTGCAGGATCACTTCTGAGCTAACGTGTTGTTCATAAACCTTTCTTCTTTCAGTTTTTGCTAACTCACTAGAATGGTTTGGCTCAGTTGTACATTCTGTAACATTGGGTACTTAAAGAAAATAAGGATTATTTATTGGACACATTTAAAAAGAGAAAGGTAGAGATGGCTCCAGGGCAGAAAGTTTAGGTGTTCTCTGGAGAGCTTTGGCTTGAAATGACGGTTTTCATGAACTTTGTAAACCAATGGCTGAGCTCTTTGGGTCTCTGTCTTTTTAGTCTCAGGGAAAGCCCCAAAGGGTTGGTCTTAGTGCTGAGTGGTGTACTGAAACTAGCAACCACCCTAGAGGCCCATTCTCTTGGACTCTCTCTTTTCCCCTCACTCTTGCTTCCTCTCCCAGAGAGAGGAAATAGCTTCCCATTGGAGCCTCTCTTTCAGTTGGACAAGTTGGGTCTAGTCACTATGAAGTCAATTCCTTTACTTAATTACGGGGTCCAGTTTTATAAATGAAAACATGTTTTCTGGCTTATGTATATTGTCATAAAAACAAAATAAAACTTGTTTTTAGTATAAACTTATAAACTCATACACTCCACTTTCTGAATTCTGAACATATCAATTGACTTTCCCTTTTCCTTCAAGAAGAGAAATTATTTTTTAAATTTCAGGTTATTGTGGGGATACATACATTTTGGTTACATAGTTTGCTTTTCTGTGGTTAACGTCAGAGTTATAGGTACGTCCTTTACCTAGAAAGTGTGCTATACCTTTGCATTCAGAAAAAAATCTGTGGATACCCATTTTACTGTGTTTATTCCAACCCATAAAGTTTGATAGTCATAAGAACAACTTTCTGAAACATATTTTTAATTGATTGTAGAGAGGAGCAGTAGATCCAAGATATTCAAGTATTACTGAGGTTTTGATAATATTAGGGGAGTATCATAGACAGGGCCCAGGAATTCCTGAGCTCTACTTGGCCAACTATTTTTTAAATTTTTTCCCTTAAAGCTTCTGTGGGAGATTTACCTTTCCTAGCAAAGAAAAAACCAGGCTCATGACTCTTTATGCAGGGCTTTCTGGTATAGTAGGGCTGGAGAACATGCCTTAAACTGAAAACCCCAGCAGGGCCTTCACAAGGCCCACCTGTAATCCCTGCCTAGTGTCAGTTTACAAAGCCCACCTATAATCCCTGCCTAGTGTCAGTTCTAACACTGATGAAAGGTGATCTCGAAGGTGTGGCTACAGTGCAGAGCAGGTGAGAGAGAAAACATGAGGCTGACTCACCTTTCCAGTCTCTTGGCAGAAGGTTGCCAAGGACAAAGAACTAAAGATAATTTGGCCAGACTTACATAGTAGATTTAGGTCAGTATACTTGGTGAGAATAAATTACATTATTTTAGGGAAGAATAAGAATAGCAATGGAGAGAAATGACAGAAATCACCCTCCCCCAACTAGACCCTGTTCCTGAGATTCTAATTCATTTAGTTTATGAGACCTGTGTATCAGTGGTATGTTACATAAACTCTCTGAATTTTAATGTGCCCTCAAAGATAAGAGCAACCATAATTCAGAGGAAACTGAGGCCCAAGGTCACAATTCTGGGACCCTGAGTCTCAATATAGGTCTTTTCCTTGTAAGTACAATGGATTTCTCTATCATATATCTTAAACTGTGTTTAAGAGTTTTATGACTCTAGTAACTTATCTTCATGAAGACATTTGCTCTTTTCCTCATTTGTTATATGTCTTTTGGTAACTCCTGACCAGTTATATAACTGTCTAATTTAGGAGTGAAAATGAAGATGCTTGAATTGATTAACTTTAAAGAAAAGTATGGTTGCTATGATATGAATGTTTTTGTCATCCCTAAAAATTCATGTTGAAACTTAATCTCCAAGGCAATAGTATTGAGAGGATGAGGCTTAATGGGCAGTTGTTTAGGTTATGAGGGTACTACCTTATGAATGTGTTAATACCTTAAAAAGGGCTCCCAGGAGGTAGGTGTGATGGTGCACTCAGTTGATTGGTCTTAGTAGAGTGTGCACTCAATAGAGTATCACTCAGCTCCTGGGAGTGAGAGCTATGCTGGGAGGGAGGATTACTTGAGCCCAGGAGTTGCAGGCCAGCCTGGGCATCAAAGTAAGACTCTGTCTCTAAAAATGGGAGGGGCTTGCAGGAGTGGATTCACATTCTCTTGCTCTTCTGCTGCGTGAGGATACAACATTCATTCTCTCTTGCTCTACCACCTTCCTCGTTGTAAGTATACAGTGAGAAGGCCCATACCAGATGTTACTGTCTTGATCTTGAACTTCCCAGACCCCAGAACTGTGAAAGAATACATTTTTGTTCTTTATAAATTGCCCTGTTGTGATATTCTGTTATAGCAGCTTGAGACAAAAGAATATCTTATTTTCTTTATATAAGGTGACCAGATTTTAACATTGGTAAAGTGGAACACCATTGACTGGGGGTGGGGGGGTTCTTAATTAGAAATTTGGTCTATATGGAGCAACAAAATTTTTCATAGAATGCAAAAATGGTATTGTAATATATTTTTTTATTTCAACATAAGTACAATTTACAAATATAATACATTAAAAAAAAATTACGTATAGGGCGGCACCTGTGGCTCAAAGGAGTAGGGCGGTGGTCCACCTGGGTGACCTTGCCCAGGAGGGGAGTAGGGAGTTTATATTAGCCTTTTCATTTCCAAATGAAGTTACATTAACCTCTTCATTCCCAAATGGAGTTACATTAACTTTTTCAGCAGCCGAAAACATATATTCCCTTCCCGTTGTCCTGCCTAGCTTGTTGTGCATTCTTTCCAAAAAATCGGGACTTTTTAAAACACCGTGGGACGTAGGACAAATTGTTAAAAATTGGGACTATCCTGCCAAAAGTGGGACGTCTGGTCACCTTATCTTTGTATCATCTAATGAGAACTCTGTGGAACATGACAGAAGGAAGCATAACTGAAACAAGCAATATAGTTTTGTAAAATGTATCAGCTGATCAGCTGTCTGTTGCTATAAAACAAGCTACCTCAGCACTTAGGACCTTTACACAACAATGGTTTATTATTTTTTATATTTCTTTTTTTTTTTTTTTTTTTTTTTTTTTTTGAGATTTTCTTGCTATTTTTCAGGCAGGGGCTCACTATGCCATCCTCACAGCTCATATAGGTAATACAGGAATACAGAACATTATTAATGTTTCTCCCCATTAATGACATCATACTGTTATTCAGATTTTTCCCCAACAAATGTTTTT